AACAGCCAGCCGAAGATCACCCCCACAATTACGAACTCGACAAGTGTGGGCGCCGTGTTGAGCATGGTGAACCGGACGATGGTCTCGATGCCCTTCGTGCCGCGTTCAATGACGCGGCTCAGCCCGCCCGTCTTGCGCTGCAGATGAAACCGGAGCGATAGCCGATGCACATGCGTGAACGTGCGATAGGCGAGTTGGCGCACAGCGTTCTGGCCCACCGAGGCAAACAGGATATCGCGCAATTGCTGGAACCCGGTATCGACGATCTGGCCCACGCCATAGGCGATAACGAGGATGATGGGCACGGAGAGCCCGAGCAACAGCGCAGCGTCCGGGCCGGAAACGCCGAGCGAGTCGATGATGCCTTTGTAGGCAAAGGGCACCAGCGTGCTGGCCACTTTTGCCAGCAGCAAGGCGCCGATTGCGAGAACGGCCCGCATACGCAGGTCGGGCCGATCAGCCGGCCACATATAACCCCAAAGATTGCGCACTGTGGAAAACAAGGCGCCTTCGTCGGCGCTGACGGTTGATCTTGGCGCCCTGGCCATCAAAAAGCTCCAGTATAGAGGAGGGACGGCGATGGAATGCCGAAAAGAAGCGTCAGGACGCTTCGACTGTCTGGCGTTCGCAGTGCGGACTCGACACATCCAGGCCGGAAACATAGTCACTAACGGCGCGGTTGAAGGCGGCAAGCCGGTCGGTACGCACGCAGTAGTTGTTACGTGTCCCCTTTGCACGACGTTCGATTACCCCAGCGTCAAGCAGCACCTTGAGATGCTGGGAAACGGTGCTCTGGGCAAGTGAAAGACAATCGGTGACATCGTTGCAGCAGCAGTTTTCCGCGCGCTGCGCCAAGATGCGCAAAATCTGCAGCCGAACAGGATGCCCCAGGGCCCGCATCAATCCGGCAATATCGTCTTCATGCATAGCTGCGGCTTCCATCGTCGTTTAACGATAGAGGAAAAGCGCGATTGACACAAGGCTGCACTGGCTGCGGTCGGGCGAAGCAGCCCGCCCTCGACAAAAGCTGTTATTGACTGGCCCCTTCATCGACTTCGCCGATTACTTCATCGGTGCCGGGCAGATCGAAAACCTGCCCGGGGTAGATGAGGTCGGGATTACGAATCTGGTCGGTGTTGGCCTCGAATATCTGCGTATAGCGAATGCCCTCCCCATAGACCCAGCGAGCGATTGTCCAAAGGTTGTCGCCCTGCCGGATAATGACCAGGCCCGTAGCCGCCCGTTCACCATCGCCGACCCCAACCAATGTCGGAACGGCGGTTTCGGGCTGGACAGATTGCGCTGGCGCGGCCGGTTCGGGGCTTATTGCAGGCTCGACCACTTCCGGAGTTGCAGGCGTCTGCGCAACCGGCGTATCGGCGGGCGCTTCCACCGGTGCCTGAGCGCTCTGGTCTTCGCCAGAGCCAGGGGTTTCAACAGAGCCAGGGGTTTCCACAGAGCCAGGGGTTTCCACCTCTATATCGCCTTGGTCGGCAACCACGATTTCCTCGTCCACCGCCGCAGGCAGATCGAGGACGAAATCGACCTCGGCCCGGGCGACGACTGATCCGTCGTCGGCGA